CCACGTCACCTCGCACGCGTTTTCAAATACTCTGGCCCAGGGTGGCATGTACAGAAATAACGGGCTCAACACCACCCTGGAGAAGAGCCACGTCACCGGCCCAGACAACTTCATCACCGCCTATGACCACCTCGACTTCCATCCCAGCTACAACCCAAGCGGCCCGTCGCACTGTTAGATCTGCAGCAGTAACGATGACAATATGAAGCCGCTTCAGTTTACTGCTGGCGGCCTAGACTAAAAAAATAAAACAAACCCAACCCCCCCCAAAAAGCCACGAGCAAGAAGGAAACAGCAGCCCTGACCTTACACTAAATCTGTTGCTAAACCTCATCTGAAGGCATGACAGGAGGCACTACTGTAGCTGCTAAACGAGGTTACAGGCCATTTGATGAAGAGCGAGGCAGGTTTCTGGTACAGCTACGTCCCGTGCCATCAGGCTGGGACAAGGCACTCTTCCTGGAGCACTTGGCTTCAGGTTACCTCTCCTGAACGCAGCCTTGGGATGCCACAGCAGAAACAAAGGGCAGCGGGCAGGGAACTAAGTGGGTAAGCAAGCTGGTACGAAAGCCATATTGTTGAGACAGAGTCCTAGCCTTAAAATACTTTCAGAGCTGTTTTCTTAACAAAGAAACACAGGGCAATACTGTTGATTTTCAAAATGCCTTTGAGCATATGGGAATGCTGCGATTGCGAAAGGAAGAAGGGCAGCCCCCAGGCAGCACACCTTCCCGTGCCGCGCTGCTGCTCCGTGAGGGCTTTGGGAATAACATCCAGCTATGGTTTTTGGCTATTGCTCACCCCATATTGACTCGGTGAAGACAAGCAGGGAAAGGGCAATTAGCTGATCACTGCCTTCTGGGGCATTAGCATTGTGTCTGCTGCAAGGCATCCGCAGTACTTCAGCGATACTGAAAATTTCTGGTGTTATCGCTGATGAGAGTAAAACCGTACAGACCGTCAGGAAAATAATTCATACAGTACAATAATCAGCAGCAGATTAACACATGTGCTTCACACGATTAACCATGTAAGTCAGGACTTAATGAGAATTTTTCCCCTCAACACAGGAAAAGAAAATCTTTCAGCTTGGTAATGCGAGACGTGCTATTACAATGTGGTGCATGGCTACAAAATAAGCAGGTTAAAGGTAGCAGTACATTTCTAAAAATAACCCCCTAACTCCAAACTGCTGTATGTATTATTATTTTCTTTCCAATGGGACTCCTACCTAGTTAAGGCCACAAATTTTTTGGGGGGAAAAGCAGTTCAAGTCTGTGTTATCAAAACAGTTCAGTAATTTGTTGGGAAAAACCACATACAGTCACTTTGTTACTAGATGAAAATCACTAATTTACAGAATGAGTGTTATTAGGAATAGTATCTTAATTTATAAAGATTTAATGTGATTAAATGTCAATTAAATAGCTCATATGAACCATTTTACTTAATTTATAGGCAGCATATAGTTATAAATACTTGAACAGAATACTTTCCATATATATATTCTCTTAACTCTTTCTCTGTTGCTAATGATCCTTTAAACTCTTGGCTCATGTACCACATACCATTAAAAATTAAGATTTTAAAACTGTTTCCGTACTATTTAACGAATAACCAAACTCCATGTTTTCCTTAAGCTTTTGGATATATTGTAGAAAGCATGTTCATCTTCCTTACCTCTCAAAACTACAATGTTTTATGAAATAATTCAAATAAAGACAACTAATAAAAAAGAAAATGTTTTTGTAAATTTTATTGTAACAATTGTAGCTACACAGCCAGTGAAACTGCATCATTTAGACAGTAACTGCACTACAAGGAACACCTTAGCACATTTTCCTTAAAAACTAGTCTTGAAGAGAAACTAGTCTGCCTTTTTATGGATGAGAAATGGTCCTACCTTATAGGTAGTGATAGTATATATTAAAAATAAGCATACTACTATTCTAGCTGTTTGCTAGGAAAAAAAAAATTGAGTCTAATAGTATGTCCAACTACCACTGCAAATAATATTCTTCACATTAGAAATATTCCCTATTTGTGTCATTTTTATATAGTCTTATAAACTGCAAAGGAAGCATGACAACTATATATTTAAACATATTTGTGAAGTAGAGGTATTCTGTTTAGTTAATAATGTCACTAAGTAAAAATCTGAAGTCCAAAACTGAGCAGGCCTATACTTGTGCTTTTTTTAAACATTCAAACCCTGGTGTAGCTACATGTTCCTGGACACACCAGCAAGATTTCAGTCATGCCTACCAAACAATTCTAGTTTTCATTGCAGTGCATTTGGTTATCTCAAACAGAAGAACAGCTGGCTAAATTCACTTTTGCTGAAAACACACCAGTACATTGGAACAAGTAAATATACTAAGCAGAAATGGGCCTGAAAAGTTAACTTTTTAAATATTTAACACATCAAAATAAATAAGTAATACTCTTATCATTCACTGCTATTCTTCGATTAGACTCTAGACAATACCTTGAGCTTCTCGTAACTTCCCTTTCTTGTCCTGAAATGAAAAATAACATAAAGTGCTGAATTAATACAAACAGTTGTGACAATTTTACATATATTTTTATCCACAGATTTTTCTGCAGGTGGAATTATTTAGGGGTAAGACTGCCTCTTAGAAATATAAATTTAGTGGCTTTTGTCACATATTTTTCCACCTGTTTTCATACTTCATCTAAAAACACCCACTTCTTTTCTTCCTTGCCTTAATTTCTTCCCTTTTTTTGTTTTTGTCTTAAACTGAAACCAGTTCCTTTGAACAGTTGTGTATGCGGTGTACCTTACGTCTCCCTCACGCAGACTGTATCCTGAGATATGTTGGAGTGAGGTCGTCCAACTCTTCCACTGAGCTTCACCGAGAAGGGAGCAACACGCAAGCTTCATTGCAGCCAGCCCCAAGAGACATGACCCTACATATGGATTTTCTCAAGACTACAGAGGTTTGCAGTTCCTTCTCATCTCTTCTGCATACTGTATTTCTCCGAGATGTCCTGTGTCCTCGTATCAGGCTGTCTACCTTACTTGGGTCAAAGACGTATTTTCCCTGTGTTTACTTTCCTACTATTTTAGTGGGCTTAAGAAATACTGACCTGTTTGTTTAGGTGTTGGAGACCCAGTACACATTCTTTTAATTTTCAAGAATACCTGTACTAATTCAAAATACCATCCTAAAGATGACACATTTTACTGCAGAGAATCTACCTGAAACAGTTTCTTTCTACTTTTCATATTTGCAGATAAAATTCTGTAAGGCTGTACTATCAAACCAAGACAAACGGCATTTAAAGGTCTAAAAAATTAAAAAGCACACACATTAATAAAAGAAATCGCAGCAGAGATGGTGTGTTCCTTCCTTGTATAAAATGCAGCTACACATCAAAACACACGTTCTGAAAATAGCAGCAAAGAACTGTTTATAAAAAATTAAGGTAGCCCTTGTGGTCCGCTGAGGATCCTTGAAGGTTACCCTTCCTGAAGCACAGAAAAATAGTCACTGTGATAAAAATAAAACAAAGTTTTACTTTTTAAATAAAACAAAATAAACAAACAAAAAAAATTATTTTCAAAGTCCTGAGTGAGCACAGATTTATCTAAGAACTCTGGTACAGCAGTCAGGATGCTGTAACTTACCAGTAGCCATAATAAAATATACTGAGTAGTATAATCCAAATTAGCAAGTTTTGTGCTCTGACTGAAAAAAAAAATCACCATGCATTTTTAAAAAATACAAACCAGCGCTCATTAAAAAAAAAGTAACTTCAGTTCATGGTTCCAAGCATGTGTCTGACTGTGATAAAGGATCAAATTAATGTCTCAGGAGGGTTGAAATAATGGAAGAAGGAGATTGTTCTTGGCACTCACCAGAGCCTTTTCAGCTATCACTGGAGTGCTGAAAAGGGTCAGGAGGGACATATAGTCTGTGCCTTCTCTACGGTTGGCTGCCTGTTATGATCAGTATCAACAGGAAGAAAAAATGCATTTGGTACCGCATCTATCAAGATGCAACCTCAAGAAATTTGTACCGCAGTCCCAAACTTCGTACCACACGCACGGGACTCTTGCACGTGAATTTGTTCTCCTTCAGTATAATCTTTCTACTCCTCAGCTGTTCTGCCTTTAATCTGTGACGTTTAAGGGTGATTCCTTATCGCTCCAAGACACCACACTTCTTTTTTTGAATGAGTGATGAGAACTATACCCGGAATAATGATACTGCCAGTGGAGTCATGGCACTCTTCTTATGGCTGTGGCACCAATTCCAGAGACGTTCGTTGACACACAATTTAGAGTTACATCCCCTGTGGATGCTTGCTCTTCCTTGGCCAGTCAGCAATTCTCATGGGACAAAGCCTGGGAATAATTACTTGCCAAGACCAAAAACGCCTGGGAGGACTTGGAGGTAGAAGGGAATACCCATAGCATATTGGTACAGAAACACCAAGGGTGACAGGATGGTTTGAATATCAAAACAGCAGCCTTCCTTCCTTCCCTCCCACCTTGAAGACTAGCTCAGAGTCTCCATGCCTTCTAGGAGAACCTCTCTGCTGGGTGTCACATCACCCATGAGGAAGAAAGCGTGTGCATCCCATCTCCACACCATCAGGGGCTCCCAGACTCACCACCACGTCTTCAATAGTGGGGCAGAAAGGACCACGTGCTAACTCTGCATGCTGCAGCAGCTGTGCTACAAAGGACACCATTTAGAGAGACACCCGTGCTTTCTGACTGAATGACAGATGTCATCTGCTGAACTCTGCCTCAAAACCAAGGAACCCCTTTTGCCAACCCTTGTGCTACTAAGAGGGGGACAAGCACAAGGACAGACTCCACTTCTTGACCACAAATGCCAGGAAATTGCTCTTAGGGTTCTGCTAAAACTGCAAAAACCCTTCTCACCTCCCAGAATACTCACAACATTTTTTGCCTATGCACTTTGTAGATTCTCCTTCTTCACTTTTTGTTATTAAGAACAATACTCCCTTAAACCGACACATCTTTAAAGATCTGGATTCTGTTTCACAGCCACAAGGAAATCACACGCTATTGTCACACAGGGGATTACGGTCTCAGACAGCGGGTGGCTGAAGACAACAGGAGGCAAGAAGCCAGAGCAGCAGCTGAACTGAGATCCTGTTCCCAGGTTTGGCTAACACAAA